AGAGAGAGAGAGAGAGAGAGAGAGAGAGAGAGAGAGAGAGAGAGAGAGAGAGAGAGAGAGAGAGAGAGAGAGAGAGAGAGAGGGCGCATGTGAACACGAATGCCATGCTACACAGGTTTCAAGTGTGTATTTTGTCCGCTCGCGAACTAGAAGATGTGTACTTTGGGATAAATCCCCATCTACGGAATGCTGTGCTTTGATTTCCCCTTGTCCATTGATTGTGTCTTTTCCTTCTTTCGTCGAAAAATCATTTGTACTTCATGTGGTTCTACCGTTCTACTTAAAATTCCTGCACCAGAATGAAAAGAAATGATTTGGTTTAAAATGGGGAAAAAGAAGTCCTGCACGAGATGGTGCTTGTATTTTGTCGAACTGCAGTGGACGATTTTGTAGACAGCTAAGCTTTGGTCGTTCCCCTCCCCCCCGAACAACAGCACTCTGTCTCTCTCCCTCTCTCTCACACTCACACACATAGGCCTAAGCTTCTCACTCTCTCTCTGTGTATCACCCTCTCTTCACGTGGGACTGACGAATTCTTTCAGCTTTTGGGATCCTTCTTTGTGATCGATTATTGATTGTTTGCCAACCGCTGACGATCCTGATGACCTTCTCGGATTCGCCTGAATGTTTCTTGGCTGCTTGCAGGTCGCCAGCTGGGGTGGGGATTTGCTGCACAGGGGTGTGCTTCCTTTGTCTTTTGCACCAAAAGATAACCATGAGGCACAGATCCAGTTTGCTCTTGAGCGGGGTATTCCAGCTATGCTCGGCGTAATCGCCACTCAAAGGCTGCCATACCCGAGCAGAGCTTTCGATATGGCACACTGCAGCAGATGCCTTATCCCGTGGTCAGCCAATGGTGGGTGATCTCCGTACATTCTTGTCTAGCATGTGTAGAAAACTGTGGTCATCCTATTCGTTCCTGCATCTCATCACGCAGTACTGCCGCTGTCTATTTGCTCTCGCGCAGGAACATAATTATTGGCGCCAGGTCTCCAGACTTCATGGTGGATTTATCATTGAAATGCTCGGCATGCCCCTTTGTGACCTTGAGGCGGCTGTCATTCGAAGGAAAGCAAACAGAGGAGAGAGTCAGAGTCGGGGTGAACTCTGGTTCTGTGTCTGTCGATATTACAAAGTTGTTCATTGACCATGAATTTTTGTGTAGGCTGTAGGACGAGAATTAGTCGACCAGGTGCCCAGAGCTCATGGCCGATTTGTCATTGAAATTCTCGGCATGCCCCCTCGTCACCTCCCTATACAGGGTGTTTTTTTACCGGTACAGCGAGTTGGCGAATATGAAGTGGTAGTGTATGACAAAAGGACAGGCAGGTTGGCCTTGGCGGCCTGCCTGTTCGTTTTGTTTCCGTTTTTGTCTACTTTTTTTTCTTGTGTTTTGTTTTTGTGTGTGGAATCTAGTGGAGCAGAGCCTAACTCAGTTGGTATACCCGTGAACCGTTGAAACAATGCCCTCAGTTCAAATCAGGATGAACTAGACGGTATCTTAAACTAGCAGCACATCCGAGCCTCGTCTGTACGAGGTGGATTTCCCTTGTGCCCCACGATGTGCCAGAACGCCAGTGCAGCGTTTTTGCTTGTTTTCGTTTTTGGCTGGCCGCTGTCATGCGAAGGAAAGCGAACGGAGTAGAGAACCGTGGTGAATTCTGGTTGTGTCTGTCGATCACAAAGCTGTTCATTTTCCATGAATTTTTGTGTAGGCTGGTGTGTTAGTATTATTTGCATGCGAATTCCGCTGTGATTTGCGTATTCATGGGGACTGTTTGCAGYCATTTCGTGTTCTATATACKGCATTCTCAGTTGYGTCGTKCAGGGCCTTCGCTATGGAAGTTCATGGCATTGGGGTAACTAWACCASYYGCGTTATTTCCTGGATYRTATGTGGCTGAATGTGTAGGTGGKCTGTATTTGACGGAGATTGCGCGCATCCTTCGGCCTGGAGGATTCTGGGTCCTTTCTGGGCCTCCTGTGAATTACCAACAAAGGTGGAGAGGGTGGGAAACCACGGAGGAAGAACAACGACAGGATCTTGAGAAGCTAAGGGATACGATGAAGAGTTTGTGCTTTACGCTGTACAAACTGGAGGGGGACTTTGCGATCTGGCAGAAGCCAACAACTAATGAATGCCATAATCAGAAGAAACAGGACGGTTCTCAGCCAGCCATCTGCGATACAGAAGCGTACCCTGCTGATGATGCGTGGTATGTTCCCCTCCACACGTATGTACTTGTGCGCTGCGAGTGAGGGGTACCTTGGATGGGTGTGTTATTGGTCGTGGGTGGGGTCCACAAAATCTAAGCGGGAGCAAACGTATGGGAACTCGGCTGCTCTAATTTTAGTTGGGAAAGTAATAGTAGGAGTCCTTACGGTTGCAATCGCAATTCGTTATTGCTTGCAGTGTCACATCTGAGATTGTTTTTGTTTGTCATTGGACTCGCTGGATTCCTGGTTGCCATCATTTGTGCACTGCCATCATAGCCGGTCTCACCTCATGGCTACCATTAACCTGCCCCTACTTGCAGCTGGACTTCCTGGCTGTCACTCATGGAGGCATTTTACATGGGTAGAATGTCATGAGATGAGTGAAAAGGCTTTTGTGAGTTGTTTGGGTATCTGTACGTATCGGTGACGCGATGGCATTTTCGAGCGAGGTGCCTGATCCGTGTGTCGTGGGCATGGAACTGTTCAGGGTGCTTCGCTGTGATGCGAGTCCAATTTTTACTAGTCCCAGGTTGGTGGGCATTGATATCTTTCGTGTTTTATTGTGCTTGCTTCTGCTTTACTTTTGTCCAAACAGGTATGTGCCAATGGAGCCTTGCGTAACACCATTCCCAGATAATTATGTAAGCACACCTCTGCGACAATGGAGTGAAAGGCTAAATGCTATACCACCGCGGATTCTGGAGTCAAAGGATGAAAGTGCTGCGGCATTTCAACACGACGTGAAGAAGTGGCAAGAAAGAGTGGAGTTCTACAAGGTTTGTTGTCATTTTTTTCTTGTACAGTGTGACACTTCACGTCCTCCCCCTTCCCCCTTCCGTGTAAAATGAGCCCTTTGAGGTCCAAACTGGTACTCATTTAGGGCCAGCTAACAGTTCTGGCATTCACAAATTTTTGAAAGATCGCGAGAGCATTGTTGCGAATGCAAAGATGCTCGGGGTGTACTCTCACTAGAACCTAATCTCACAAAATCTGTGGGTGTTGTGTTGGTGGAGATTACGTTTGCTGTATACAGGTGGTGCATCTAGGAAAGAAAGTAGTGACGCAGTCGCATTTGGAGACTTCGCAGATGATGCGGTTGCCCAAAGTCCCTCTTTTCACTTCGACAATATCCTCCCGTGTTCGTCTGGTAATAAAAAAAGCAGAAGAAGCTTTTCTGGGCACAAGGTGCCTGTAGAATGTGTCCTCCCGCAGCTTGGCAGGCTGCTGACATTTGTCAGGGAGTACTACTTTTGGTGGCCTGGCATCCACGTATGTCTGGCTTCGCTGCACTACCGTCTTCACCCGAAAATAACACCCGGGCGTTATATTCGTTTATAATACCTGGGCGTTATATTCAGTAAATTTGTGGTAACTTCGGTGAGGCCTCACAATTCCGAAAAGAATTAAATTCAAAAAATTCTGAGAAAAAAAAAGTTGTCCAGGATTGTAATGCGACCAACTTTTGGCTGAGGGCCACTTCAGAATTCCTTATAAACTCGGAAATAAAAAAATAAAAACAAAAAATCAAGCTGAAATATACCCCTTGGAAGTCAAAACCCCATTCAACCCTGTACGAAACCCATGGATACCCCCTTTTCCCCGCCCTTTAAAACCCATGTATACTACCTCTTCAAGGCACTCTTCCCATGGAACATACGAGTATAATGCCCGGGCGTTCTATTCAAAGGGGCGTTCTATTGTAAAAAAAGTGAGTAAAAACGAAAATCTCATATTTTCAGGGTAAGTTGAATATACCGCCCAGGCATTATTTTCGGGTGAAGACGGTAGTTGCGCATTCCAAAGTGAAAATGTTGTAGAGGGAGTATGCCCTCGCAGTTGTGATTTTTGGAGTCTGAAAACAGCTGGACAAGTGGGTAAATGTTCCCCGGCGGACTGACATGTGCTGGCATGAGAAGGAGAAGTGGGGGGAAGCTGCATGGCAAGATTCGGTGACAAGGGAGACATGGAGAGGGGAGTTGAGTATGGGGGAAGAAACTTTGGGGGAAAACGGTGGTTATAATGTGGGGGAGAACATTGAAACAACTGAGACCTTAAAAGAAGTTATTTTGAATAAAAGATATATGCGACTCTAGTAGCCTTTAAACTTGTACCACGAGTGCCCTGCCCAGGCAATTATTGACCACTCCCTGAACTTAAGGGGGGCCTGTGCAGGCCCGGGAGATGGTGGGTCAAGAGTGGGTCGCCGCACGTCCAGAGTGGTGGTGGTGGTTGGTAGTAACAGTGACGGCAGCACGGACCACCACCACAAAACAGAAAACAAAAAGACAGGAAAAGATGAACAGTTGTGAAAGAAACGGAAAAAAATGGGACCAAAAAAGCAAAACGCAGCCGGTACACAGGTCGCCCACGTACATGGTTGCTTTTGGCAACGCCGGGCATACTCACACTAGGCCCCTCATAAATGCAGAATCGCAAAATCAGCGGCCTGATTGAGTTCGTGTGAAAAAGGACTTGATCTGGGCTCCCATTTTGTGATTCTGCAGCTATAAGGCCCAAGTGTGAGTATACTCTCAAGTGAGCACTTTCCCAAACAAATCGAACTGCAAGTACGGCGGTACCTGGATGCATCTGACCTCAATTGCGTCCAGGACTTAGTAAAATCAGGAAAGACGAGAAATGAATGAGCAGTTCTGCAAAAGAAAGGAAACTAGATATAGCTGATAATCTTGCCTACCTACGTGCATTGGGCCTACACAGGTCACAAAACACTAGCACTTCCCTCAATGTCTGTGACCGCAATTACAGTCCCACCTGAATTCATCTGACGTCAATCCCTTCCAGAGCTTGGTAGAAACAGAAAAGACAAACGAAATGATCAGTTGTAGAAAAAAAGAAAAAAGAAGTACAGAAGTACATATGGCAGAATGTCCTGCCAGCCTCTACGACCGTGTTGGGCCTAGATCCTCGCTGCACAGCTCACCAGATGTGCAAAATTAGAAAGCATTCTTGTGCTAGAACATAAACCCCCCAATACCTTTCCCATATATTGGATGCGGGCCCCTCACTGCAACTTTCGGAGGCCTGAAACGCAAAACGAGCCGCCGACGAAATTTATCAAGGGCGGCCTGGCCCCAAAAGCTGCGTTGGTTAACAAGCCGTGTATTTGTTTTTCAATCTGGGAAAGGTGCGGGCGGTTTAAAAGATCCACCGCCATAATTTGTGTGTTTTGAGCAGCATGTGGTGAGTGGTGGGGCAAGGCCCCAACTCAGGCCATACTAAAACTAGCACTTCTGGCCGCAATTACGTCCCCAGTTGGACACATCGGACTGGAGTCTTGGAATTCGCTTGACTGTAAACCACTGCGTTTTTTTCCCCCTTTTTCCTTTTGGACAGAAAGGACAAAAAGAAGGGAAAAAAAGAAACAACCAGAGTGGAAGTACTGGTCGCCCGCTGTAGCTCTTCAATGGCGAGTTGGATTCACAACCTTTCCACATAGGCTTGGTTGCAAGATGTAAAAAAGGTTTAGGAAGGCATTTAACCCCCCAGCTCACGGACCCCTACTATTCACCAAAACGCAGTACACTGTGACCGTGGCAAGATGAACAGTGATCCGGCACGGTGCAGGCTCGGAGGGAAAAGGATGGTGGGCCCAAAAAAAATCGATTGAAAGCGAAATAGCAAAAAAAATAAAGAAAACAAACGAGAGACTGGGCTTGACTGCACTATTTACTCAGACGTCCTGCGTCGCTGGCAGGGCACTCCTCTTAGAAAGAAACAAAACAAAACAAAAAAAGAAAGGGAAAATTTTTGAAATGCCCCCGAAGTTTGTGTTTATTTGCGATTTACCCCTCCGACGGCCGACTTACCCTGATTTGCCCCTCTGACAGTCATTCAAGTTTCCAAAAAACCCCTGGCGTCGTTTGGGCCTGAGACATTTTTAATATGCCCCTACCGGTACCCGCACCAAATTTCCAGTTTGCCCCTACCGGATAGCCGTTCAGTACAGGCACAAGAATTTTCCATATGCCCCTACTGGTACTGTACATCTCTTAGGTATGCCCTTCTGGTCGTTGATGGCAGTAGCGGCTGTTCCCCTGGCCCTGGGAGACTGTTTCGTCGGACTTTCACCG